CTATTTCATTCCCAGTTGTAATCATACTGGCAAAATATCGTAGAATTGTTCGTAGATCACTGCGGAACTCGGCAGGAACATCAACTTCAGATAACCCAGAACTAAATCCTTCAGAAATTCTATGAATGCTTGGTAGCTTGCGACGAATGATACGAGATCCCATATAATCTGTTATGGTAATAAGGCTTGGATCTTCAAAAATATTGCGTCCAATTAGAATATCGTGATCAAGATATCATCGGCTATAAAAACATAGCTCACTGGAAAATCAATACCAGAAATGTTTGTATGACCTGTGAATTTTTAGTAGCCTTTTTTAGTAACCTTTTAGGACTTTGCTACATGGAATAACTTTACTTTCAAAGAGATGTAAAAATTTATCAGAAATCAGCGATAAATCAGCGCCAGTATCAATCAAAGCCCTGAACTGGTGGCCATCAATAACAACTTTCGTTGAACTCACAGGCTCCTGGAGAGCTGTACAGAGGTTAATATTGCGCCGTTTCTCAATTGCAGCTTTCGTGAAACAATTTGAAACATTGTGACCCGTCTTGGCGCAGAAACTACAAGTTTCAATACTTTGCGATGAACTCGGCACTTCATATTGACTGGAAGAGAAACTTTGGTTATCAGATGATGGTTTTGGATTTTTGGCACGACAATTTGCCTTCAAATGTCCCACTTTGCCACACTGGTAACATTTTTCAGGCCCTGTGGCAGATCTACTTGTTTGTCTGCCAGGAAAAGGGTATTTTCTCTTAAGTGAAAAAGTGCCACGTCCAGCAATTTTTTCTTGTCCTTCGTGGCTACGAGGAGGTTTCACAAAGGAAGACAAAAACACCAATAACTCAGAAATAATACGACAGTTAGCATTCATAGCAGCATTGCGTGTTTCAAGTTCAGATATTCCATGAATGATTAATTCTACTCAGTCAATCTCACACCATTTTGCGCGTACACTTTTCAACATTGTACATTTTTCATGCACATACGTTTCATACGTGTTTACAAAAGCACTTGAGAATTTAATTGCTTCTTCTAGCATACGACCAAGGTTTCTTTTTGGTGGAAAAGCTTCAATAAAATCAATACAAAAAGTTACCCAGTCTCTGTTATCAGGGTTCCAACGTTCAAACCATCTTTTTGCCTCGTTTAGTAAAAAATCGACCAACTCTTGATACTGTTCGAACATCAGACCAGCCAATTTCAATTTTAATTGCTTCTACTTGACTTACCCATTTGCTGGATTCATTATTTTCAGGTGTAAAATAGGGCAAATCTACCTGTTCACCAGATCGCTGTGACATCAAAGCTTTAACCAGTTCAGCTAAAAGTATTCCAGTCGAATTTTCCTCCTTGGAAGTCATTTTCACAATTCTCCACAACAGCAATATGAAAATAACAATCCCAGTAAAGTATTTCTCGTTTGCGTAATTGCGTAAAGCACCAGAACGCAACACTGTTTTTCAATAAATAAACAACAGGACTTGCGAGTTCACAGTGAGCATCAGGCACAATCCCACTTCTGATGATAGAAATAAACACTGGACGCACTTTGAATAACACCCTTTATTCTCTTTCACATATACTAACTAAACAAGAGCGGCGTCTGTATCCGAGCATGGAGAGACACCAAATGAATTCATAATCTTCCTAACATGATGAAAAAAGAAATGAAAATTTCTATGTTTGGGTTTATTGTTTAAGTTTAAAAATGTCCATATAGGACGAAACTGCAGTAACGTTAGTTACAAATAAAAGTGGTAAAAAACATAGAAATTTTCATTTCTCTTTTCATCATGATCTCCTACCACGTAGTAACGGCTACATCCATCAATTTAATCTTCCTAACAATATTGTGTTGAATCATCACAAAAACAAAACCTTTCGATATTGTAATTATAATTCATCATCTTAGCTTCCCATGACCGGCGGCGGCTCGACGAAATATTCCTCATCGGGTGATCGATTCTTACAATATATTCTGCGGTATATTGAAGAAGTCATGGAAGTGAAGATTGTCAGTAAATTTTCGTATGTTATGCAGTGTACATACATTTTTCGTAGACATTTTCAATCCTGTTGTAATCCAAGGTATTCGTTGTTTGATTTTTTGCATGAGGAATGATTCATCAAATACATTCAATAGCGCGTTGTGAAATGCGAGGAAAGGTTCACTTTGGAACTACGTACCTCCCCAGTTAATATTTAGACAATTCTGATAAAACCTATTGTAATTTGTTCTACTGTAAATTCTCCCAAACTTAAGTTTACCTTGTGTAATTAATGAGTCAAGACGTACGACGTACAGAACAAGTAATTGCGATCTGATAAACCTGATGGTATCACTAAGCATGATACATTCTGTACATCAAAATTGCTACAAACAAGAGCTAGAGAATTAGAAAACACGAGTTTCTGAATCAACGTGCATATTCAAGTCGAAAGTTAAATATAAATTTTTGAGTGAGTCTGTAGGTATCTGTCGATTCTTCATTGATATAATTTATGTTAAAATCACCAGTCAATAATATAGATGAGTTGACAGATAATAAATAGCTTAGGTTATTAAAAAAGATACCTTCATCAGCAGAAGGTGAATACATAGGTACATAAAATGTACAGATTTTTTTTGCTGTAGCAGACGGAAAACTCAATCGATTTGTCTTCGGACAAGTTTCGGAACTTATCAACTTGAATAAAAGTCAATTCACCGAGAGCCGAATTCCTAATCAATAGAACAGTTTCTGGAGAACCTACTTAGATATTACACAGTATAGTCAGGATTGCTTATTGGTTCGAGCTTATTACACCAATGTTCCGTAAGCAAGACTATTGTAGGAAAATTCAAATCACTTAAAAATATAAAAAGTGCATCTATTTGGTTCCGAAGGGACTTAATGTTGAGTAAGACTAAGGTAATACAGTTACAATTAGAGAAATGATTACAGTTGTTATGTTCTTCAAATGATCTTTTTGTACCAGATTCATCATAGGAACTCTTAGAACATAGTTTTGTTTCATCATTTAAACTTTTTTTTAGTGTCTTCATGGAGGGGTCTAAAAAACCTTGAATGGTTTCATTCGTGAAGGTGGGAAATTTCAAATTTTTTGTTTGTTTATTTATGAATATGAGATCTGACATTTTTTCGACAATTTCCTGTTAACTTTGCATCGTGCCTTTCTTACAATTCAAATCGAAAAAAGAGATATCACCTTCGGCATAATGATTCAACTTGTATATATATTCATTGAGCTTGACATTGAATTTGTAAATGAAATTATTTCATTTAACTTGCTTACCATAAGGTACAGATGAAAAAATTAAATTCGTATGACAACACTCTTTAATCCTACTGTTGATTTCTCTGAATAACGGATATTTCTTCGATTCGAAACATTTAGAACCTGCAATAACTCTTATGTACAATAATTATTATGAACTGACAATTCTGTACAGTTGGATTGGGTCCAAACAGAAAAAAAACTTTTCATCACTGAATTTATGTTCAACTTTGATAGGTAAAAATCAGATTAGCCAAAATAGTTATATTCTCACAACCATTCCCATTTTTTTTTTCAATGCAGTGCAAAATGAACAGAAAAATAAGTGTTCCAATGTAGAAATTGAGGCTGTTATGAAATTGTGGCTTGTTAAAGGAAAGGAAAGTATAAAAAAAAAATTAGTTTGAACCTATTGCTACCATATCACTTGCAGTGTTTTTTATTTATTGTTTTTATTGATAATAATTAGAAGGAAAACGACTTTTGTTTGAAGGTGGTTGACAATGTTTCGTGGTGCATTTCATTAGTTCGGACTTCCATTGTCTGATATAATATAAATTGATTTGGAATCCGAGAATCTGTAAAAAAATAATTCGGGTGATAACAGTTTTTTCATTAATCAAATTGTTATTTTTTTCAGCTAATCTTTTTAATTTTTTTACAGATTCTTTCACGGATATCAAATCAATGTATACCTATCATATTAGACAATGGAAGTCCGAACTGATGAAATGCAGGAAAATGACTATTTTAATGATAATGTATATTCGAAATATTTTGAATGTACAAGTGAAATATACCTAGAATGTGTTGTATTATTGATAAAAACACTACTCTTTCCCTTTCACAAAACGACTTTTATTTACGACTTCCACGTTGTTTAACAGAGTAGGTATTAACAAAGTATTATATTCAACTCAAGGACATTTTTATGCATCACACACATGATCCAAAAATATATATCGTTAATGTAGAAAACTTAGAAATCTGATTTGTATCGCCATCTATTTAAAATGGACCAAACTAAGACTCAAACAGAATTTCATTTTAGCGTAACAATACAGATTTCTATGTAGATTCTTAACAGAATGTACTGAGAATATTCAAATATTCTCACATAATATCCTTTATAGAATATTACTCTGAGGAACATCCTAGGAATATTCTCAGAATATTTATAAATTTGAATGTGCACGTAGAACGTACCTAGAATGTTCTGAGAATATCAAAATATTCTGGCGTAATATTCTAAAACACTTTGTAGAAAATACCAGGAATATTTCCAGAATATTTAAAACAGTCCATTCTGAATGTTCATAGAATATGACTAAAATATTCGTTTCATATTCTCAGAACATTCTGAGAGTAGGTATTCAAATATTTTCAGCGTATATTCTATGGATGTTCTATGAATGATATTGTGCCATATGGAATTGCTTATAGCATATTTCATCAATGAAAGAATCTATTATCGTAAAAATGAAATCTCAATAAACATTTTATTATTACAATTATTATAATCGAAGTTGCTATGGTTTTTCTGGTAATTCGGCAAATCCAATTGAAAATGAGGTAGATAATATTTTCGCGAACGTACTTGTAAATATTTTGTGTTCCATCATATTATGACACGATTTTTTTCCCTCCTATATTCAACCAAAATGCCACGCCACAGTTCTGTAAAGTCTTTCGACTGGTTCGGTAAGGTCGCACGCCGCGCCGTTCAATGAACGATGGAGTCCAACCGCTTGGCTGTGATTGGTCAGATTTTCAAGAATTACTTGAGCATGCGTCAAGAATTCAAGTGTTTGGGTGTTCTGTGATCAGGAGAGAGGTAGTTGATTCATATTCCACATGTGACAATTTTGGAATAATAACAAAATCGTTGGAAATAAAAGTGGCTGAGAGGCAAAAGTAAACAAAAACAAGTTCGGAAGTTATCGGCAGTTATATTCAATTGAATTTACTTTTCAGACTTGGTGTACTTGAGTTAAATTTGGTGGAATATGTGTGCTTTCCCTTCATAACCTATAACTAATATTAGTTCTATCAGAAGGACAATATTACGTAAAATTTGTGATTTTTCGAAGAAAACCGGTACAGTCATTTGTTTAGGAGATTCAGGAGAGTTTGTAAATGTTGTCTCTGAAATAATCTGCAAAAATTTGAATTAAAGCTTTTGTGTCTACTCAGTATGGATATGATAGATTCTTTCAGAGATGGGGAGCAATTCTCCACATTTGATACTTGCAATTATGTGGTAAGCAATAAATGAAAATATAAATTTTTATTGTACTAACCTGTGTGTATATATAAAGGAAAACTATCTAGACGATTCGACCAGTCTGGACAATCTTCCCAACTTTGGACAAAATGACATGTATGAATGGAATATGGATGTTGAAAGGGAGTAAGTAATGAAAAGATTCACCCTAAAATAAAGCTAATACTTTTTATTGTCTAGGATAAATGGAGATATAGCACTAATTCCAATGACTGTTTCGAGGTTAAATGATTCATCTCCCAACGATTTTCAAAAAATCATGAATGATTGGCAGACGTTTATTAGTACGGATGTAAGTACAGGCTGATAAAATCCATGAAAATGTTTTTAGAGTACAAAGTATTTTTATCTCATTTTTTCAAAAAATCTATAACTGTGTTCCATTTTCAACGGAAGTTACTAATTACTTTCATTACATTGGTTAAAATGACCAATTGATATCTGCTGAATAATGGGACAATGTTCCTGAAAAAAGGGTACTGATCTGTCATCACAGTTATCGATTCGAGATGTATAGATACTGATATTGAGAACATCTAAAATAATTGTCATATCGTAGATATTGGCATCTATTATTAGTCTTGTGTTATGTGTAGATTGTTGATAACTCTCCCAAGTCATGAATGGAGGCTGTAACTATTCCCAGTACTGATATATTGTAATGAGTAGGTCAAGAATAATCAATTTCAATGTTGAATTCAACAGTCACTGATGTTGATACAAAAATCAGGATACATAAAAAACATGTATTTGCAAAATATAATTTTCTTTATATGAAAATAAATTTTCTGAATTTCGTAAAATTACCAAAACAAGCAAAATATAGCTTTTTGATAACTAAGTTATATTTATGATTGCAATTGTTTTTAATAATTCTAAAATACAAATCATGAAATTATAAAACAACAACAAAAATTGATTGGCGCTCCGGGGCGACTTCATTGATTCCAGTGGTGCATTTGCGTTTTCAGCTGCAGTTAAACCCGGAAAAACATGCAGCACCACATCATCTGAAGATCTTGATCTGCCAATATCCTCTCTCATAAAACAAAATGTAGGGTGTCTCCAGAGGCTCCACTAAATTCAATGCATTGCCAGAACACTTAGTGTCACGACTATCATCAAACTTGAACCAGTCCGTTTTGCCTTTGACCAAGGCGTAATAATGACCAGATTCAACACCAGAACCACAGTGAACAATGACTGCTTGTTATTTAATACAAAACACTATACTCTGTCCTTCTTAGTAACAAAGTGCTCCAGAATGTTATCATACATAGTGAATGTGATATTCCAGATAATGCTGCTAGTACAGAGTCGCGATAAGGAAACATTTTTGTTTTTCAATAATATGCCGATGGGTATAGAATTTTTTTTTGGTGGAGTGAAGGAACAGAAATAAGCAGTTACTTGACATTTTAAAAATTTCAAACTTCAAAATACCATATATATACACACTACAGACGTTAAAACGTAACTCACCAGTCCCACCCTGTAGCCATATTATTAAGGAACTTCCCCAGCCGCCAGCTGATTGCAGTTAAATTTGATTGGCTAGCATAAGGAGGCTTGTTTATTTTATCCGATGAATACAAATTTGTTTGTTGGATGAACAGAGTTCAGTTAATCTGCTTTCTTGATTTCTCAACCTGTTTTTGGCATTCGAATGACCCGAGTCCACAAGAAGAAAGAATTCCTTACTGATAACTTAATGTGATGCCTAGCAACACTTTTCATTTCTGAAAGCAGTTATGTTATAATTTGGACTTTTGACCAGTTCTCACTCAAAAATTATTAGAAATTTCCAAAACAAGCACTTTTCCCAAACATAAGAACTACACTACTCTACTCGACGTGATTCACCAACCAAGTTGGCATCTTCAGGAGATGAAGTGAACTGACAGTAACTTTATCTCCTTATTGTACTTTTTTTTTGGTTTGTTCTACGCTAGATGTTTTAGTTTAGATTTATTTTATTACAAATTTCACTACAAGGGTACAAACTGTACCAACTGTGTACAGTTGTACTAAGATTTTAATAATATCCACAGTAACTCATAATGCAAAGTCACAACCAACCCTGTTATGCTAGCAGAAAGAATCACTTTGAATTTTTATAATTATTTTTAGGCTAATATTGACCTGTTGTTTTCTTCATTTAATGGAAAAATCTATTCTGAAATCACTGGATTCTGCTATCTTTACTATTGAGCTGGCAGATCCAAATGAAAATCCTTCACTTTTTGGAAATTTTGCTCGTACAATAATTTAAGGCTCTTTTTTGCTCTATTGACAAATGTTTTGCTCCTTTTTTTAGTGTCAGATTTTAGGCTCCTATGAACCCCCATTGCTTATTTATTTGTTGTATCAGTGGGTTCTGCTGACTTTACTCTTGATATGGCAGAAACAAATCAAAATCCATCACTTTTTGGATATTTTGATCTTGCAATAATTTTAGGCTTATTTTAGACTCCATCATTACTTTGCCGCACTTGTGTTAGGTGCGGAAATAATTTTTTGAGTGTGGGAGAGATAGAAATATATTGAGGACTTTAGACTATCCATGAGTTAACTGAAAAACATAAGTGTGTTCTAATATGTGTGACTGATGACTTGTTTACTTTATTGTATTTCATGATCACTTAAATGAAGTGAATAAAAACACTTTTGTCTAAATACCACTGGAGGCCATGGAAATTAACAAATCAATTAAAATCCAGAAACATATACCCCTAAATGAGCAACTTGATTTATGTAGGTCTCCTCTCTTGAATTTATGAGTTTAACAACCCCTAGAATTTTCAGGATGGTGTTTTAAGTTGGCATCCTGTCTCTCAAATACCTGGCCTTGCAGCATACCTGAAAATTCTATAAAATCGATGTTCCAAATTCAGATTTCAGTTTTATACTTGATACTGGGATCAAACCCGAAACCGGTCGTAAAATAAAATTTTCCAGTGGTATTTAGACAAAAGTGTTTTTATTAATTTCATTTAAGTGATAAGTGTGTTCTACTAACTCTACCAGTAAACTGACAGAACCTAATGGAAATCCTTTACTTCTTGGAAAATTTGAACATGCAATAACTTCAGTCTCCTACATAGTATATATTGAACAATTTTTTCCTCCTCTATTGAATTAAATATTTAGATGACTACCTAAGCACACGTGGTGAGAAGCAGAAATAACTTTTTAGAATAATTCGACAAAAAATAATTTAATCAAAAATATTACTCACATTATGAGGACAGTGAGTTGTGTCAAGAAGTCCATGGTTGCAGAGTGAGAGACTGAACTTGCTTCAAACGGGTAACAACAAATTGTTAAACAGTTTAACGAAGGAACATGAAATGAGCCTAAAATTATTTTCCATAAAGTAAGTTATTTCGATACAGTTCTGCCAACTTAACTGTTAAGTTAGAGAAAAGTGCGGCCTTTGAAAGTCTACGTCTATACCAAAAATCTAATCTCTGCTTTCAAAAATGACTAAGTACATGGTTGTCTTCATCTCAACACATAGAAAATCGTTGATTGGGGACAATTGGTGCCTAAAATTATGACATAGCCTGATACAACTTTTTTTCTAGTTTTTTGCTAGTTTAATGTTAAGTTAGCACAACCCAGGATGTCTCCTTTGAATGAAGTTGAAAAAATTCTAGAATAGACTTGAAAATCAGGCTGAAATCATGGCGTGAAAATAAATATAAAAATTCAAAGTGGTTCTGCTAGCTTGACAGGGGTGTCATAACCAACTTTTGAATATTTATATGGGAAAAATATCCACGGCTATACATTACTCAACTATTCTTCAACCAATCCTAGTAAATAAATAATGTTATGTGGTCATGAAATAGTCACCAAATTTCGTTTCATATACTATTGGTATTGTCTGAGTGTAAAAGAATTTCAAGAATGCAAACATGCCGGTACATCAAAGAAAACAACATAGTTGTCTAAAGCAAGTGGCAATGCAATTTAGTCACTGAGATATTTCTACCTGCATGGCCCCTTGAGGACGCCGATAACTAGCCATTAAGGTAGTGACTTCCAACAAACAACTTCAAAAGAGGCAGCCGATGCTGTTTATCATATTGCGTTAAAGACAGTATTAATAGGCGTCGGGTATTAATATAAATTTTTCAATGATATATTCTGTATGATGCGAAGATAATTGAAATATCGTGAAAACTAATTTTGTTTAAATATTTTTTATTGAGGACAATTTATATTCAAAGAATGATTCGTTTTCGAAATACAGATTGTTGAAATTTTTAAAAGCATGGTAGGTTTTTGTCATAAGTTTTTGCAATTTTAGTTATTTTCATCATCAAACTTTATACGCAGTATACCCGTACAGACTTCTTCTAAACTGAGCATTATCGAACTGCTTATTCAATCCAAATTTTAAAAAATTGTCAGGTTTAATTATTCAATTAGAAAGTGCTACATTTCGGAGTTTGTAAAAAAAAACAATTCGGAGAAGTACTACGTTATTTATTAGGAAAAAAACATATAAAAATTCAACGAAACAACTATTACAACAACTGTTCAAAGTGACGACCCCCAACAGTAATACAAGCGTCTGCTCTCCTCATCAAAGAATTCCGCACCCGTTGAAAAATGCCCGGAGTGTTTCTTATCGTTTCGCAGCAAGCTATGATGTGATCCCTCAACATTTCCTCGTTTTCAATGAGGCTAGCATAAACTAGTGATTTTAGGTGTCCCAAAAGAAAAAATCGACGGTATTGAGGTCCGGTGACCTCAGGCGCCAATGCTCAGTGCCTCCTCTTCCTATCCATCCTTGGGGATATGCTACCTCTAAAATATTTCTTGCTGTCACACTAAAATGAGCAGGAGCTCCATTTTGTATAAACCAAGAGTGATTTCGGAGACCAATGGAAACATCTTCCATAAGTTGGGGAAGCTCGTGTTCCAAAAAATGTAGGTAAGCATCTCCATTCAAACGTAAGGGGAAAAAATAGGGCCCAATTAAATAATCCCCAATTATGCCTACCCATACATTGAAAGAGAATCTGTCTTGGAAATGTGTTTGCGTTATCGCATGTGGGTTATCTTCCGCCCAGGTGTGGTTGTTATGGAAGTTCATGATATCATTTCTTGAAAAATTAGCCTCATCTGTGAAGAGAATTTTTTATAAAATTTGCGGATGTTGTTCGACTTTTCTCTGAAGCCATTGAGCATATATCGGACGTAAAATAGTAATCATAATTTCTGTGTTATTAAACCACTGAAACCAACCATATTACAGATTTCGAACAGATATATTCATCGCTCGGTTCTGGCTCAATATATGTAACTCCTATTTAATTATATGCGAGCGCTTTCGTAGGCTGGTCGTGCTATCATCATCAAGACTCTACTCAAACAGTTATATTAATATTAAAATACGAAAATAAAGGAGAATTAGTTGCAATGTCTTATACCTTTACATGTTTTTTTGTCAGGGCCCATCTGACTGTACAACAGTAAGTTTTACCTTCGTCTTATAAATTTCAAAATTTTATTGAAATATTGCAATAAATTGTGTTATGAGAGTATATTTACTTCATTCTGCTGTTCACCCAAAGATACTGCTTGGAATACATATTCTAATACAACTTTGCCTATGTATATGTTCATATATCACAGAATAACACAAAGGTCTTGGAGATGTTAATCTCTCGCTTTGGAAAAATGTTGAGAAAATTAGTGAAAATTAGTATTTCAAGTTTCAAGTCTGGTAGGTGACTTATTATATAAGTTGTTTTACGGAAAAGGTGACGTAGGAGCTGAGTCCAGAATATAAACGAGTACTGTAACCTAACCGAACACGTATCGTATGATATTTCATTTAATTCTGTCTATATAGAATAAATTACAGATTTTAATCTACAGTTTAAAATAATAGTACCAATTATAGTTAATCAAAATATATGAACTATTATATCTCTATAGTATATAAAACGAAATTTGGTGTCTATTTCATAATCGCATGACAATATTCATTTACTAGTGTTGGTTGAAGAGTAGTGGAGTATATTTATAGCCGTGGATATTTTTCCCAAATAAATATTAAAGAGTAGGGCAGTACGTATTTTTCAAGTTGGTTATGACACACCTCTTAAGTCAGCAGAACCACTTTGAATTTTTATAATTATTTTTGCCATCATTTCAGTCTAGTATTCAACTATATTCAAGAATTTTTTTATCTTCATTCAATGGAGATATCCTGGGTTGTGCTAGCTTAACGTTAAGCTAGTAGAACCCAACCACAGAAAAAAAGTTGAAACAAGCTATATGTCATGATTTTAGGAACCAATTGCCCCCGATCACCGATTTTCTATGTATTGACATGAAGGTACCCCTTTACTTTAGTTATTTTTGAAAGCAGAGATTTGTTTTTGGTACAGGCGTAGACATTCTTGGGCCGTACTTTTCGCAATACTTATCCCGAGTGACAGGCTCAAAGCCAGCCTACTGCGATCCCGCGAAAAGGGCAAATTCTCGATAGTTTGCTTCGCTATGTTGATACCAAAATAAGTTATTTGAAAAAGTTGCTCAGAAATCAATTTTGACCCTACATACCAAATTTCAACTCAAAATTCCAAATTTGATTTTTTTTTTGTTATTTTCATATTCCATGTCCGATTTTCAAATAATGGTTCTGAATAAGAAGCTACAGAAATGATGGAATAGTCAAAATAAATATATAAAAATAACTAAAATTGAAAATTATTATTTTATCAAATGTAAATTAATCGAATTTAGTCTCCTTTACTGGCTTCTCAATTTTGAGGAATTTGTCAATTTTCTGTAGAATATGCCTAATGTTAGAAGGAAAGTCGTCATTCTCAATGTTTTAAAGCACTCTCGTATTTTGTGTTTCAACAGTTTTCAATTTGGGCTAGAGTGTCATAGAAACAAATTAACTATTTATAACACAAATGTCAGTCCGAGAGCAAATGCGTCAAAAATAGTAACGAAATGCCCATTAAACGTTTTAATTTAAGAGAAAATTTTGAAATAATTACTTTATTTGGTGATAGTGCTCAAAGTAGCAGACAGTTGGCTCACCAATTCAACATTGTATTCGAAATGGAACAAAAGCGTCGGTAAATAAACTTTTTACTCAAACCGAAAGTGTATAAAAAAATCGTTCAGCTATTGACAATCCACATCGAAATCGAAGGTACCATGATTATGAAAATGTCTTAGGTTCAATTCGTGCCAATCCTCAAATCAGTTTGCGTGAAAGGTCTGAGTAATTAAATTTAAGTAGAGAGGAAATCAGAAGATGGCTCGTTCTTAAAATAAAATTAAACATTTTTTAAAACCAAAGTTTTTGCACACATTGAAAGAAGGTGACGAATATAAACGATTAGATTACTCCTATTGAGCCCAAAGACATTTTTTTAATGTTGAAAGTTTACTAAGAAAAATGTTGTTACTGATGAGGTTACGTTCACTACCGAAGAAATAGTATCTCCTCAAAATTGCAGATACTGGTCTACCAAAAATCCCCACTGGGTTAAAAACTGTAAAAAAAAATCTGTTTAAAATGTGTTTTTCCGTTAACCAGCTGTCGCACCCCTACGAACGACAACCCTCAGAAGTCGAAACTTGTTCGAACTAAGGACTAACGAGGTCTTACCTTTTAACGTGTGATTCCTAATACGAGTTGGACGAAAGCAAGTGAAAATCGATCGTTCCGCCTAGGGCTTGAACCACCGACCAACACGGCGGTCAATTTGAGTGAGTGAACAAAGCACCCACGTCGAACCGACCGGCTACCGACCGACCAATACTCTCAAAAAGTTAATGTATGATGTGGTATTTTAAGCGACAGAATCATTGGACCGTTTTTCATCAGTAATACCATTAACGCTGAACGACCATTGATTTTTTTTATAATGAATTATGGTAAATTATTGAAACTCTATTCAATGTGCGAGAAGAGATTTAGAGTGAAAAATAATGTCTAAGCAACTTTTTTCAATTAACTTATTTCAGTATCATCAACGCGAAGCAAAATATCGAGAATTTGCCCTTTTCGCTGGAACTCTGTAGGCTGACTAAAATACAGGGGTGTCTTCATCTAAAGTATGTCACACTATACAGTATGTAAAAGCCAAATGGAATAAATTCATTATTTCGATTGCTGTACATACTTAAAAAAATCCCGAAATTTGACATTCTTCAACGTAAAAATGTCACCCCACCTTTAACTCCCTTCGAATGACAGGTCCAACCCCCAATTTTTTAAATAGGAAAGGTCTCTTTATTCTCTATTGAAAAATGTTATCGCTTTCAAGTTTATTGCAACAATTAAGATAAAATGAATTAAAATCATGTGGTTACCGAAATTCGATAAAATACACTCAAAAATTATTGCAATATACTCAAAACTTATTTCACGTTGAGGTAATGATAATAAGAAAGTAAGCAAAAACCATAGCAATGTTCACTTCCAGCTCAAGATTTATCTTCTTGAGTTCTATACTTTTGAGCTCCTCGAGCTCAAAAGTCTGATAAAAGTTCGATAAAACACAATTTTTTCAATTTTCAAACTGCTATAACTTTTGAATGAATCAACAGAAAACAAACATCGGTCGCCTCCGGTCCGCTCAAAATCGGTTGATTCGTTCGAGATCGTTGACGAAAATAAATCGAAAAAAGTATTTTTTGTAATAACTCCGAAATGTTCCATTAGTTCGATTTTTTCTATCTCACAAGTTTTATCAAACTTTTATTAGACTTTTGAGCTCGATGAGCTCAAAAGTATAGAACAGTTACCTTCTTGAGCTCGGAGAGCTCAAAATAACAAAGAACCTAACAAGAATTTGCAAGAAGTTACAGGGATAGCTTTTAGGACCGTTTTCCATTTTTTTTTTCTGCTGACATGTTTGATGATATTTCTTAAATAATAACTTTAATAGATCATAAGTTATCTCAAAACTCGTAAAATAAATGGATAAATTACAGATATTTATTAAAAATCAGTAGGCATTGGAATTCTACTGTGATCATCTTCAAAATGGTTAGAGTCCATAAGAGACCTTCTTTGTAGAGCGTTCAATTTCCTATAAAAATAATTGAAATTCGTTTGACAACAGTTATTTTTCAGTAAGTTACAAAATTCAATTCACCTTGAATATCTTTTAAATGGTTAGATCAATGAAAAGCGTATAAGAGACCGTTTTTGTAGAGCGTTCAATTTCCTATAAATATTGAGTATGCAACTGTTTTAAACGATCTAATGTTGAAAAGATATGACCATTTTCATATGAAATAGAAATAGAAAATGAATAACTATGATGGGGATAATCTTTCCATTAATATTAAGAGCTCAGATTTGGTGGTAAGTACTTTCTAGAGGTACCTAGGAACTAGTTTTTGTGTGTCGGATCAGCTTTTTTTATCCACCCTATAAAATTAAGAAAAATGAATACATACTTGAATAGATTCATTCGACTTTCAGTGAATTTTAATAAAATAAATAAAAATAGTTACTTAAACAGTAACTTAAAATAAACTGGACTAGAATAGAATTCACAATCAGAGAAATGAAAAATGGGACCTAGGCCTTTAATATTTGCCTCAAAATTCATTGTTTTATATCAAAATATGTCAGTCTGTGATAAAGTTTTCTACAACCTTTTATTAGGATTTCCCTTTTGAATTATGATTCTGCGTTGTGTTTGATTGATGTTATTTTATTGCATTGACAAGAAAAAAAACTTATTACATTTTTTAGCTTGTTAGCGATGAATTCCGGATGGAGGAACCTATAATTACTCCAGAAGAAACAGAAAATGAAATGGTACAACAAAGTAACTCACCCTTAAATGATTATTTTAATTTACCTGTTGACGAATCATTTGATTTAACCTCCTATATAGTTCAGGATGAAAGTGTACCTCCTGCAAACCCTACATTCAGTAGTTCAGAGAAAAAACTAAAGGCACCTGTCAAAAAAATTGATCTGAAAGCTCAGCGTTACATTGTTGATGATGATGAAGATGAGGTGGATGTTGAGACTATATCTGAAAATGAGGAGAATTTGGCGGTTCACAAAGAGGAAAATCCAACCGTTCTTGAGGCTTGTGATCTCAATAGTTTACTTGAACAATTTGAGGCAACTGTTCCTCATTTACCTATCAACATTATTGAAAATGATTTTGAACCATATGAACTGCCCAATATTTCAATAAAACCTGAAGAAATACTGATGGAAAATAATATAACTGATTCTGGTTCAATAACGATGCCAGAAATTTTTTCAGTGGAACAGTTGGGAAAAATTCAACAAGTTGATATGATCGGGACAGAATTAAAAGAAACAGAAATTCAAACAAATGAACAGAAGGGTAGTTTTGTAGCGAAACAAGAAATAAATTTTGAAGCTACTCTTCAAAAACTTGAAATTGAGGGTTTGAAAGAGGAGTGTAACTATTCCAGCATTGTTAAGGTGAAAGATGAGCCTTTATGTGGACAAGAAAACATAAAGAATAAATTGAAACCAAACAAAGAAATTGTTAAAACAGAAAGAGGAACCTCTGATCATCATAAAATTCCTCAAGTTAATGTTGAGGGGAATAATCCTCTTTCAGAAACAAAGTACATTAAAGCTGAACAAGGTAAGTTCTTATATTTCATAAATTCTAGAACTATTTTTTATTCAGAATGAAATACTATGAAATTCATGAAAATTAAAATGTCTAAATCTATACATCAAATAAATCTTGGAACTTGAAAAATGTTGATATACATTGTAACAAAATACTTCAATGAATGAATTTTAATGTAGCCCAATGAATGGTAATTGTTAGGGAATTGTTTTAGAAATGTTTTGAAAGAAATTTAATCTTGGTGAAATTTCATAGTCACAAATGGTTTCTTTCTGGACTTCCATTTTTGTGTACCATTATCAATATTGAAAAGTTCTAAAAAGAGAATTGATAAAAATGGTTGTCCTTATAGGTATTTATATGTATATAATAATATTAAACATAATTATATGCACATATAAAATTGTATTATAAAAAAAGGATCATTTGATTTATCTATAATTTAGTGGCTTTTGTACTATATATAGGTTTTGGCAAGGGTCATAAAGCAAATATTTTGTAACTACACTGAATCTTTTCAACAGAGCCTTTTTTCTACCTGCTAATATTTAAGGCAACAAGAAAGGATAAAGGTAGTTAGTTTGGGTAAGTTTTGTGAATTTATTTGCATTACAGATATGAGAAAGGGAATTCTTGGAAGTAGTACCCTTGAAAATCCTCATTGTGAATATCACCCCAAGGAAATATATCATCATAAAGATGGACACAGAGTCCAGTAACTGAATGATATATAATTCTAAAATTGGAATCTCATACATGTGCACTGTCTTATTTTATTATCTTATTCACATGAGAATAAAATTGGATGTAGAGTCTAAGAAATGTGTCAAATATTTTAGAATACAAAGAAACTGTCCATGTTCAGTAACTATTTGGGAAAGAAAGTTTTTGGCTTTCAACTACTCCCCCTTTTTTTTGTATCAGATGGAGTAGTCGAAAGCTAAAAACTTTCTTTCCCAAATGAATAAAATGATTTGGTTTTGACAATTTTCAAACACACATGTAATTGTTTTCAATACTTATTATGGATCTTATAGATATCAAGAAAAGGAATGTAAAATTGTTGATAAATCCAGTGTTTGTTTTCTTATAGTAGGCAGACTGTAAATAATTTCGATTGTTTTGAAATTTTATGTTTTGGTTATTATTTTATGGAAAAATTCACATGAAATTTTTCCATCAAATCTATTGGTCGGGAAAATTTACCATATTTTCAATAATTGTTCATAAATACTTGCTTGGTAAGTGTATACTTTGTCTCCAAGATTGACCATTTCAGAAGGTTATTCAAATAATGTTAAATAAATATTCCGATTGATTCCAAAGTTGGTCGGAAAGAATTGGAATTCGCCAATTTAGTCGTATTTTTTTCTGACCTATGATATTGAAAAATGAAAACAATTTTTCATTGTCACTGACTAGGAGACTTTTTAGTGCTCAACTTTCAAAATGTTTTTATAATTTAAAGTCACTTGTTTTATCAGAATTGAATGCTGTATACATAATACAGTTACTGCCAATTATCTAAACATATATAGGCCGTTTCTTTTACCATATGGTAACATTGCTATATTCTAAACCATAGCATATATGACTTTCGCCTTTCTCGAATTATTCAGGGCCTGGGATCAATTTAACCACCCTTAATGGGAGTTGCCGGTACCGCCGCAACCGCTATGTCCTGTATTTTATCCCTAAGAGCGACATAGGGATAGGCTGCGGAAGCGACTTTGTTTTATACTATGTAGTGATAATAAAATATTTTCCCTGTCGTTTTCAAAACATTATTATTCTTTTCTTTGCTCTGGACTGGAATATGCGTCTGGTTTCCACTCTATAATGTGCACAAGAGTATCATATTCTTCTGGGCTGAATGGTTTGAACTTAGATTTACTCTAGACTGCTCAATACTTTCAACATCCTTTCTCCACCAATTAGTAGAGCACAAATTAGCAAATAGATTGGTTCAGTCACAACTACTAAGTATAATGAATTTTAACTTTCGTTACAATTAACTATGTTTTTCAGTATTGGATGACATCATACAACTATATAATTCTATAATGATGATGGTTGAATATTTTTGTGACATTGTAAAAGTTTAAAGAAAATTTCACAAAAACCTGTAACACCTAAGAAGTGTTCGTTTGTATGAATATTTTACACAATATTGTGGAGGATTTCAGTTAATGATGAAATATTATGATGCATCATTTTTTTTTTAACTTATAACAGAAACAGTCGGAAGAATATGAATTTCATAAAAATAATGGTCAATCTAATAAAAAAAACAATATATGGATATGAAATCTTGAATATTATTTTATTTATTTGACAAGAAAAGTATTTGTAGGTTTCAAAGCATAACCCCGAGTTTAAATTGAACTTCAAAAATTATTGTATTATTATACTGGGTGTTTCATCATGAAAATATCCCTAGAAAATTTGCAACTTCTATGTTCAACACTTTCAATGTTGTTCCAAACATTTTAATCTCCGATTGAAGGTGAATCACATTTTTTTAAGTATGTTTGGTAAGTGTAATAATCCCAAAGAAATAAAGGTATGTAGTGGTTTGAAATAGTATTTTCATTTCTGAGAAACTATGCAAATAATCCAGCAACGTTTTCGTTACAAGTCATATTACTATGCAATTGGACACTCAGCATATTGTTTTGAGTAAACCAATATAATTACGTTATTAACATTGCCAAACATATTTACTTTCTTATAGAAGGGTTTTTGGTTTTTATCAGTGTCGCTGTGAAACTTTCATTGGGATTGCCAGACAAAAACTTATTTAATTTTCAAGTACTTCTAGTGTAACCATATTAAAGAATGAAATTCAAAACTTTTTCCCAAGAAGCATCTGAAGCCAAATTTTCTGTTAATATACCTGAGTTATTGTTCTTTAATTGCTTTGTGTTTTCAGTGAAACAACTTAATAAAAATCATAAAGATAACAAGCAATCTTCTGGAAAAAACACATTGTTACAAATCTCAAATAGTGGAAAAAAAACTAAATATGACTTCAGCTGTGCAATTCCAAATAAGACCACCTTATCAAGATCGCTGTCATCAGCACAACAAAACAGTGCTCAAAAAATTCACAAAAATCCCGAATCAACTACCTCTCCGTCACAATTGGATCCAGCTGGAAATAAACAAATTATGGATTCATTACCCCAAGAATTAATAGCTCGTATAAAGGAATCTGGAAAACGTAAAACTATATCTGTAATTCCCCCGATGCCTGCCAAAAAACGTGGGGGACCTCGCATGCATGACGCTATGATGGCGTCTAACAAAGAGAATAGAAACACCAGTAGGGCGGACACTGTCCAACTTGATCATGACTATTGTAGTTTAGCTACCCCTTACCCCAAACATCCAAAGAAGGATTCTGGATTTGAATCTGCAGAAGAAGATGATCGACCTATTATTGGTAAACAACCAACTGTCAAAAATGCTGATGGCAAGTTGATGGTATCACTGTTGAAGGTATGGGCCTATTTTTCAATAAATCCTTATTATGAAATCTTGGGCTCGTTTAATTTTAAAAATGGAAAAGATTTGTTTCTTAGGCAATAAGGAATCATTTAACAGTAAATATTTTTTCTTTGTCGGTATTTTGCAACTTTTTTCCAGAATATGTATTCTGGGGAAAAGTAGTCAGTTGTATAATAGTATTCTTATTGTTAGATCTGTGATCTCAAAAGTACTAAAAATATATATATTCACACTTGTGCACTCAAAAGTTATTCTATTTAACAGGTATACTGTTCAAATTGGAGTGTGTATATTTTTAGGAAAGATTAGTTCTTAGGAAAGACAGGTTTTGGCTTTCTACTTCTCCATCTTTACAGAAAAAAATAGGGAAAATTTCGAAGAAAGGATGATAGCAATTCATTTGAAAATAATCAGTTTGCAAAGATAACTCTTTACTTTCAGATACAAGAAGAAGTTGTTTCAAGAGATATTTTTCTTCCAGTTTGTATCTGAAAGTAACTTTTATGCATGATCTACACATCTTTATAGAGGTATACTGTATTGATATGATGTGCAAGATGTGATGAACCCAGTTTTTGCATTGATTCATTTAATCTATCATAATAATCTTGAAAGAAAATAATTATTCGCCACTTATAACATTCATAGGTCATAGAGCTAACAGACTTTTCTATTTCAAATGACCTGAATTTCCTTAGGTTAATACCATACACAATAACAAATCCACACAGAAGAAGAAGCTCAACTTGGAGGAATACAAGAAACGAAGAGAGGGCTTCCTGAAATACCAAAATAATTCCCAGAACTGTTCGCCTAACACCAGTAGTTGTAGCTCTCCTTTACCAGAAGATGAAAACACAAAAAGAATTCGTCATCAACAGAAACTCATGAAAATGGCAATGGAGGTGTTGAACACTCCACCTAGACCTGAGAAAAAGGCAGAATTACCTCTAAAGATAACTCCACCTCAACCAGTAAAAGTCCCAGTTGACATGGTGAAGAAGACACTTGTTAGTGTGGGTGTGAATACTGGTATCAAGACACGTCGTAAAAAATTGGATCCTTTAGCTCCTGTAGAACAACTTGATGAAATAAAACCATTGTTGCAAAAAGTCAGTGATAAAATTAATTCAAACTCTCTCATAACTTCTGTCATTGAAAATATTCCAAAGGTTATAGACAGTTGTGATCAACAAGAACTGAAAGCAGAGGTTCCCGTTGACAAATTTGAACATGGTGAAGATAAAACAATTGTATATTTACCTAAGGATAGGGCTACTGTACAAACGAGATCTATTGAATGCCAAACAAATATTTCTCTTATCCAACAGACGAAAGCTAGTAGGTACCGAAGGAGGAGGACTTCTTCCTCTTCATCCTCTTCTTCAGATTCTTCTAGTGAGAGCCAAGAAAGTCAGACTTCCAATCGACCCAGCAGGTTAGTTTGGCTGACACAAGCTAAGGTATAGTTTATGTTTTGATCATTTATCTTACAGAAAGAGAAGTACTGAGAGTTCACGAAGCAGTTCACAGAGTTCTAGAAGTTCACGAAGCTCTCATAGTAGTGCCTCTCACAGGTCATCATCCTCATTTTCATCCAGGTATCAAACATTTTCTTAGTATATTTTGTTAAACCATTTACATACTGTAGTAAATTTATGGCAAGTCACGAAAACATAAATCCTTGTTCGGAGTAACAAAGATAAAATATTCTACAAAAAAAAATTATGAAAGTAAATAGTGTAGGTTAATTAAAAGCACAAATATGAAATCAATAAAATGGTGATTTAATAGGTCTTTCACAAGTTGAAGACCCTGCTATGAAAACAGCGTTGGAGAAGACATTTTTTAATAGTAGATTTAAATTTTGCAAGGCTTAGTGCCTTTAGAGGCATATTTAATATTGGAAGTGGCATAATGTCAAGTTGAATAAAAAAAAGACAACATTCCTCTTTGTAAACGTCTTCGGATATTATTCTTATGGCCTTTTTCTGGTACCTAAAAACCCTAATGGAGTTAACCCCCAAATAAGAATACCATATGACATAACTGAGTAGAATAATCTCTTTTGGCTCTTTTGAGCTTCATCAAGCTAAAAAATTATTTAATCGTCTCAGAACAAACAAAACAGTAGAAAGTCTGCTTGCTAGTCACGGCTTTGATATGATCAGACCAGCTCAATCTATTATCATTAATGAATCCTAAAAAATGTATACTTTTAGTTTGATGAATATTGGGATTGGAAAATACAACTATATTTTGAGTTTTATTTTCATTCATAGTCAGCTCATTAGCAGCAAACCAATTATATGGGTATCTCGCGTCATTAGTTTAATCTGGTTAAGTCTTGCTAGAACATATTTTAAAGTCCTACATAGATCATTGATATAGATCAAGAACAATAGTGGACTTTAAACGGAGCCCTGAGGAACTCCATGTTTCATTTTTTTGAGGTCTGACTTTAAGTTGTTCACTTCAACATATCGGTACGTATTTGTGAGGTGTCCAGAGCCATGCCCTGGACACCATAGTAACTCATTTTTCCAGTCAAAATAGTATGCGATACACAGTCGAAAGCTTTTGTCAGATCACATATAGTCAAAGAAGAATGCTTTTACTGAACAAGACCTTCGACTATGTTGGACACTAGTTTGTAAGCTGCTTGAGTAGTAGATCTATATCTTCGCAAATCATATTGAAAACTGTTTAAGTAGAAACGATTTTCAAAGTAAGGATAAGAATGATTCTTCAAAATTATCTCAACTACTTTCCCAGTTATATACAATGCTTTTCAGATAAAAGTATCCACCTTTAATAACTTTTGTAATACTGGTATTTAGGAAAAATCCAAAAACAAGTCAATTTATGTTGGAAGGGGCAAGCATTATGGCTTATTTAAACTTACTGGAAAAGCCACCCCCTCACCCCTAGCATCATCCCTTTTTTTTAAATTACTTCTCATATTTTTTATGTAAAATTTGGATAACAAAGTGGGTACATAGGTTTCACAATTATACAGAGATAACTATTCCAAGTGATACTCTCCTAGTTTCAATAAATTGATTGATGTAAACGTTACTACGTAGTAAGAGATATAGAAAGTTTCATTTTTCATGACTCTCCTAGTTCCTTCATTTAATAAAAGCCATAAAAATAATTCATTTTGTTGTTTCTCGGTATTATTAACTGTTTCTCAACATTTCATCACCACCAGTAATTGGTTTCTTCAGAAGTAACAAGTACACCTATTTTCTGGCACTCAATTGCTGTTTGCTGAATAATTCTGACCAGGGTCTTCTCAAATAATATGGAAATTACTTTATTTCTAAGATTCAATAGACAGAAGCAATTAGGCAGTTTTTGAAAAGATATATCTCCGGCAGAAGAAAAACCAATAAATTGTATAGGTACTAACATTTATATTGGCAAAATGTTGAGAAACATTAGAAATTAATCTGAGAACAAAAGCCTGAATCTATGTATCACGTTTTTTTTATTATACAACTTAACATTCAACAACTAAAAAATTTCATAGGTTGAAATTTTGTTTCCCAATTATGAATAGACTATTTCAATGACTGCCGACATCATAGTTATTTGACCCATATAGAGAAGCTTCTAAAAATCCACACTGTCATAATTCTGTCCAGTTCACATCAGTTTCAGTCAAATTACTTATACAATAATTAATATTGGGTTTGCCACTGCCTTCGTTTTACTATTTCCATGATAGCTTCTTGGGAGTAATTCTCAGCACTTGTAATACGTTCAATGTCTACCTATATTTAAAATTTTTGTAGCTGTACCACTATCTTATATAAAGTATAGTGGACCCAATTTTATTGAACCATGGGTGTAGTAGGCAACTCTAATGCAAATGTCAAATAAGATTCCAATTACACCTATAGGTGTTATAGTTGTCTATGGTATTCGATGGATTCATGACCATCTCAGATGAAGTTGTTTTTTTAATACCTGTGGTTTTAGAAGAGTAAATGAATAATAATATAATAACAAATAATAATAAACAAATACATATTTTGAGCATCCATTACCAGCGGCAGCATTCTTTCAGTTAACAGTGCACGATTTCGCCCATTCAATATTCACACAAAAGAAATTAGGACCACTAACATTTCAACTAGAACATTTTCAAAAAATGGTAACATATTATCCTTCATGAATTTGAATGGTGTAACTATATCCTTAAAACTATATTTTACCTAAATCATTTGCATTTCTTATGAATTAACAGATCTTCCAACCGTTCAAGAACAAGATCGCGATCCCCGTCACCAAGATACTCTCGTAAAGAGAGAGAACGTTTACTAGAAGTTGAAGAGCGTCGTGTAATATATGTGGGGCGTATTACTCATGGTACGACAAGAGATGACTTGAGAAGGAGATTCCACAGGTTTGGCCCTATAACGAATATAAGTCTCCATGCACGTGACCATGGGTATCTGTAAGTGACTTTTTAGTATTTCTTTAGTTTTTAGAACTATATTGAAACTAAAACTATCATATATTGAAACCAAAATTGGCATAAAGGAAACCGAGAAAATTTCTTATTCAGTTTAAGAAATGAATATTCAATTATTGGTTTTTATGACATTCATTAGAACAGCAAGAAAAAAATATTTGCTCATAAAGAAATTTATGAACTGTTTAGAAACAAATTAGTATCTTTGGCTAACTGTATATTTTTGTAGAGACAACTATGGTTTTGTTACATTTGCCAATAAATTAGATGCATATGAGGCTATAGAGCACGGTAATGATGATCCATGGCAACCTAAATACGACTTGAGCTTTGGAGGTCGTAGAATATTCTGTCAAACCACATATTCAGATCTAGGTAAGTTTACGTTCAACATTTTGATTTTCTTTACTCAATCATGGTAATAAATATTCTGTCAAGCCTTTCAGATGAGATTTGATGACAAATTTACCTGTGTTTATGGTCAAAAGTGTAAGCTACAAATATTTCTCACTAATCTGAAAATGTGCCTGGGAAAAACTGTAAACAAACACCCGTTATAATCTAAAAAGACAGCCAAACAATTGTTTTTTTGCTTGAAAAATTTTCTTTTTCAGATAATATGCGTGATGAAAGTGGATATTTTGCTCCAAGAGCTAGTGAAGATTCTTTCGACGCATTGTTGAAAGACGTTCAGGAGAAGTTGCGAAAACGTAAAGCTTGACGGTTATTATGCTTTACTCAAATTTTAGGCCAAATTTGTATTTTAATTTTATATTTTTAGGGATTCAAATTTGATTTCACTGTTTTTGTTTTAACAGTATTGGAATCATGTATTTACTTATTTATCATAGTATAATTAATTCATGACAATTATTTTGAAATNTTACCCTGTATAGTCTATGGTATTTTAATGGAAACTAGCCTTCATCAAATATCTGTATACTCTGATTTAAATTATGCAGCAGTTCACATAAAATTTAAACAATTCAAAAAGTGGGGCTATAATGAAACTTTAATTTAAAAAATGCGACTATGTACAAGGACAAAATTAATTTTTTGACATGTTCTTAAACTTGTCCAGATGAAATATTTCTTTATCAATTCCTTTACCGTGTTAGGAATCACACGTTAAAAAGTAAGACCTCGTTAGCCCTTAGCTCGAACAAGTTTCTCAACTTCTGAAAGTTGTTCGTATGGGGGCGACAGATGATCAACGGAAAAACAGATTTTAAACAGATTTTTTTTACACAAATTTCTTTTTTATGTAATATAGGAAACGTCAATTGACACTTTCTTAGGATCACCCTTCTACCTTCCACAGTTTTATGAATACAGGGTATATTTTCCCCTTTTTAGAATTCTGCTATTGTATGAGTATGGCTGAATATTATTCGCTGATATTTTGAAAAGATCAAGTAAATAGGTGTCAGAGTATTTTGCTATTTGTTGGTTTCTACTTTGTAAATAACATATTGAAAAATGTGAATTTCAAAATTTTGAGGATTCTATTAATACTGGAGAACAATGGTATAATCATTAGAAAGGTAGTCACTCCTAATCTTTCTGGAATAACGATTGTATGTTCAAACCCTTCCAGTCTAATCATATGTGAAAAACCTTGGCTACGACCAGTAGCGGATCCAGAAAATCATTTGGGAGGCACAGTTTAAAACTCAGAGTATGGGGTACATAACCCTTCCTCAAAGCAATGAGTCCTTGGAGATTTTCTTTTGTATTGCCTGGATATGTATTTAAATTGCGCAAAGCTGAAAAAAATAGCTGCTGTACTGTTGCAGTCACAGAAAGAGTACACAACAGCTGCAGTAATATCCAGAAGTTTGGGAAAGAATTAGCAAACTTGTAATTTTGCGTCGGGTGTCTAGGCAACTTATTTTCGAGATTTGATTTCCATATTTGTTTCCAAATTTGCAACTCACCTTTCAAGACCAAAAAGCATGGTAAATTTTCTTTGCATTTGATTGCATCTTATTTTTGGGTAACCTTACCGCCAGTTCATTTATAATGAAATCAAGGATGTACACTGACAAGCGATAATAATAGACCTCAAGTGAGTGCGTTTGTATATTAGGTCGGTTTTTTATCGATCTGTTGTCCTAGGCATTTGAATTACTGTGCCCATTTCTTTCGCCAAATTAGCCACCTAGTTATAAAGCTTTGTATTGTAGCTGCTACAAGCTACGAAGCTTGCAGCACATCTATGTATACTCTTTGGAGTTTGCGAGCTAAAGGTAAAGTTACTCTAAGTATCTCAGCCAACTCTAGGTACTACACTAATTAGAAACTCTGACGACCGAATAGAGTGCAAGGAAGCAAATGCATTACTGCCTCTACCTTTCGGTGAACTAGCAATTGCTTCGAGGACAGTGGGGAGTGCAGGTAGGTGTTTCATGAACATAAAAACGGCTTCGTGCCTTTCTATCCGTCTTGTTTCACACAGTTTTTTTAAACCATATTTTGTTATATGTTGAGCTAGAACGTCATCACCAGCGTCAACTTTTAATTTTAGCAGTGTTCTGAAATTTCCTTTGCTGAAAGAGCTCCCAGCGTTGTCTCAATAATACCATTATCTCTGTGTACCCTCAAGGATATGTTTTGGGCACCACATAAAATGAACGTTTCAAATAATTTGAATGAGCTTCTTACGGTTCTCTTTAAGGGATACCAGGACACCTCGCTTCTTCATAACTTTATTTTCAACTGCTATCTGCTTCTCTTGTTCGAAATTCGAAATGCGACGGGTCTACCTGAAAAAAAGACAATAATATGAGAAACCAAGCTGTCCTGAAGAACAGAGATATTGGGGAATGTTCCTCCTGACGAAAACCAAGTAGTTTTCATAAAAGAGGTCTTAAACAACGACGGAGTGTAATAGTATTTATATCGGACAATGTGGTCGAAATTTACAAAAACGGTATACTGAACATGAAAGGTCCTTCAGACTAGGTAAAAAAGATTCGACATTTTCAAACCATTCCTTGGCATGCAACCACAAGTTCCCGAATCTAAACGATAAGAAAATTTTGCACTATGCAAGGAAGGGTTGAAAACAAGCATAAACATTGCGGGTGCAACCTGTTAAATGATCAAATCGATTCAGTTTACTCACCGGTTTTCAAATTAGCATATCCACATTGTCACTAGTAAACAAAATTCAGGTACTCAATCAAGCTAAGTATAGTCAAAGTAATCTCTATTGTGAATTTTTAAACATATCGTAGTAGGAGATTTGAGCCGGTTCTAAGCCTCCCCCCACCACTATGACGTATTAATTGCTTTTTTTGTTGTTTAGTGAAATCAAGGCGATGTGACCTTGAAGTGTCTGGTGCATGGATCGTTCAGAATTTTTTCATATGAGATTTTGTTTGTGTGTGTGAGAGAATGCACGGTACAGGATTTCATCATGTGCTTGTCTATGTACAAACATACGTCTGCATAGTTCGAAGATATTCCAAGTAATGAATGCTCCATCGGTGTGAGGTCACTAAGTTAGTAGTGGTATGACGTCACAGCAATTACCGTTCAACGACTAGAGAGTTCACTCATTCATGTTCATGTTCACTCCACGACATGTGGCTGAGTTTGAAGGCACACTTTATAATTTCAACACCATCACTCAATTGAACACATGCATTATTCTTATGTTGCAGACTTCTATTGTGAGAATTCACTTGAGTCAATGGAATCATCACATTACAACAATTACATGTGTACATAGGTGCTGCAGCGTCATCTCATCTCACTCATTTCGCTGATGGACCTCCTTGGCAACTCTGGAGCTGATGACGACGAAGGTTGTCACTACGAGTAAAAGATTTACCACATTCACAAGAATACATTTTCTATGATATGTTCTTACTAACTCACTCGATGGAAACTGACATAACCAACACTCACCCGCTTCTTAAATACCATAGTCCACGCCGCCTGCGCGTCACCGTCGAGAGTGAGGGTAGAGCCATGCGTTGCGTCATAGCCATCGCCACATCGAGGGAGGTAAGGGCACATCGATGAATACGCATTACTCAGCCAAACGCCGTGGAGTGCACATCTAGCTCTCCTACCGTTGAACGGTTGCTGCTGGGGATAGAGCGATGCATTACGTCACAGCCTTCA